ACACACACACACACACACACACACACACACACACACACACAAATAAAACAAACCTCTAAAAAGACTCCTTTGAGACAACTTATACCAATAGGATTCAAGTCCATCCACATCGGAGGGAACTGTAGCTGTAGGAATGGCATAACTGAGCACAGCCAATCAGAATTAACCATAACTTGGTACCACAGAGCTGCCAACTGGAGCCTACCCCCACCCAGAGTGAAACAATGCCCAGTCAATCTGCCTCATTTGTATGGTAAAAACACAAAACAAAATGGGTGTAGCTCCCACATTAAAAAAAAGGACAGAGTCTCTCTGCTTCCTGGTCCTCTGAGATGTAACAGGCTTGTTGCACAGCCATGATGACTTTCCTACCATGATGGATTATATTTCCTCCAATCTTCACACCTGCCATTGAATTAGAGTTTCCAATGACAGTTGAGGGAAGAAACCCCAAGTTGGTTCCTGGGTGGACTGGCTCAGAATGGGATGGGCACTGTACTGGCTAGTCTTAGGTCAACTTGACATGAGCTAGAGTTATTTGAAAGGAAACCCTAATTGAAAAAAATGTCTCCGTAAGTTGCAAGTGTAGGGCATTTTCTTAATTAGTGATTGATGAGGGAGGGTGGTGCTATCCCTGGGCTGGTGGTCCTGGGTTCTACAAGAAAGCAGGCTGAGCAGGCCATGAAGAACAAGCCAGTGAGCAGCAACCTCCATAGCCTCTGCATCAGCTCCTGCCTCCAGGTTCCTGCTCTGCTTGAGTTCCTGTCCTGACTTGCTGCAATCATGGACAGTGATGTGGAAGTATGAGCCAAATAAACCCTTTCCTCCCCAACTTGCTTTTGGTCATGGAGTTTTATCACAGCAATAGACATCCTAGCTAAGACAGGCCCTGAAGGAGTAATGAGAGAGACTCCTTCCATAGGAACCAGTGGAGCACTTTGTTATGAGCATCTTGGCGAAGGGGAGGAAGCCACTTGAGTCTATAATAATATGTGAATATGTGGGGCAGCAGCAAATGCTCGGTCAGCCATTCAGGCACTAGGAGAAAAAAGATGGGACATGAAGGTGGGAAGCAGACATGCTGGGGGGTTGTCTAGAGAGTGAGGGGGTTGCGGTGGAGATAATCAAGATGTATGGTATACATGTGTGGAACTGTCAAAGAATAAATAAAGACAATTTTTAGAGATGGGAAGACTGCAATTTATGTTTGCATTCTTTAGCAGAAATGTTTGTTAGTATACATTGTACAAAATAACTGGTTTCATTATGACGTCTCATGCATGTACATATTGTACTTTGATCATATTCATACCCCCATTACTCTCTTTTGTCTCCCCTTCTATTTCAATGTTAACTTATTTCATTGTGAAGTCAATTCAACCCAACTCTGACCTAAAATCATTTCCATTGAAAAAAAAACAGACTTAAGAGTTTTGTTTGCAATAGCCAGTTCCAGGATGGTTACTGTCCAATCTGCTTTTAGCCAAATTATTGTGATTATGACATATGAATATTGGCTAAGAAACAAACAACAACAAAACTGCATCGCAGTCCACCATCTCACAGCAAACAGTTGTGTTAAGACCATACTCAATTCCATTTCAGAAAACTTGTCTTTTTTGACTCTAATTTTACAGGTGGATTCTTTCACTCTGACCCACCGCATTTTGTGGTCCATTTGGGAAGCAAGGCACTTCAATGCTGTTCTGTTTCTCCTGAGCCCTGGTGAGCCATGTAGAGGCTCAGACATAGTTAAAGGTCCCTGGCCAGGGCAATTCTCTACAGAAGGAAGAGTGTCTCTATACTCCCACACACACTTGTTATCACCCATAGAGGTAAGAGACTAGAGTTCCTCCAGGAACCTTATCTTTCTCTACCTCAGAACCCTCAGAAGACTCTACTAAGACTCCATAGCATTCAATACTTTCCAGCCACAGTGACCTTCTGGTGAGGCACAAATATCTCCCTGGGATGCCAAGTCTTACCTGTAACAGATTTTTCAGTGGATAGGTCTTCCACCCCAGACTACTATCTTTACTCAAGGTGAATGGTGAGATTTTGAAGGCCTGAAGCAAAATGTACCAACTATTTGGCCCATCAGGAAGAAAGAACTGTTCCTGTCTTGTGTCTCAATCCCTAATCCCAACATGTAGCACAACAGGCTGGGTCAGTTCATCCTGGACACTTCCATGCATGGTACAGTGAATAGCTTCCTACACACTATGGTGTCCATTTTCCTTCTCTTCTGGCTGGCCCTCTGGAACTGGCAGCCTTCCTTGAGAACTTTCCAGAAAGAACACATCGGTGAGATATCCACTTACTAAAGCAGGACTCTGCACCAAGTACTCTTCTCTTTCAACAGTTGGCCCTGTGCAAAGAAGGAAGCCCTTGCGGTAAGTGGAGTGTCTCTTTTGAAAGTGGCCTTTGAATCCTTTCTGGACACTCTGGACTCTTTTCTTCTGGAGAGATGGCCTCCTAAGAATTAAAGTGATTCAAAAACAAAGAGTTACAAAACCAAATGACCCATTCACAAAAAAAAAAAAAAAAAAAAAAAAAATGGGTCTGTAACCTGAATAGAGAGTTCACAAAAGAAAAAAAAAGTAAGAAATATCTTTTATTTTATTTTTTTTTTTGGTTTTTCGAGACAGGGTTTCTCTGTGTAGCTTTGTGCCTTTCCTGGGACTCACTTGGTAGCCCAGGCTGGCCTCGAACTCACAGAGATCCGCCTGGCTCTGCCTCCCGAGTGCTGGGATTAAAGGCGTGCGCCACCACCGCCCGGCCAAATATCTTTTAAAAATGTATATTTGCACACATATACATATATGTGTTCACTAACAATTAATAAAGAAAAGAGGTCATGGATTTGAAGGAGACCAGGGAGGAGTATATATGAGGGTATGGAAGAAGGAAAGGGAAGGAAGAAATGTTGCAATTATATTATAATCTCAAAAATAAAAATAATTAAAAATGCCCGCCGGGCGGTGGTGGCGCACGCCTTTAATCCCAGCACTCGGGAGGCAGAGCCAGGCGGATCTCTGTGAGTTCGAGGCCAGCCTGGGCTACCAAGTGAGTCCCAGGAAAGGCGCAAAGCTACACAGAGAAACCCTGTCTCGAAAAACCAAAAAAAAAAAAAAAAATGCCCATCATCCCTAGCAATTCGGGGAGTGCAAATAAAAACAACTTTGGGATTTCCTCTTACCCCAGTCAGAATGGCAAAGACCAATGGAACAACTAATAACAAATATTGGAGGGGATGCTGGGGAAAAGGAACCCTCATTCACTGTTGGGATTGCAAACTGGTGCAGCCACCATGGAAATTGGTATGAATAAAGTCTCAAAAAGCTAAAATTAAACTCCCTATGACCCAGCTTATAGCACTCCTTGGCATATGTCTAAAAGACTCGACATCCTACTCTATAAACACTTGCTCAGCTGCCTTCATTGTCGCTCTATTCACAATAGCTAGGAAATTAAAACCACCTAGATGTCCTTCAACCAATGAGTGGTTAATTAAAGCTTCTCTCAGGTCCTGCCCCCCCCCCCCCCCGCCCGCAGTCCTGAAGCCCACTTATAAAATAAACACACAGACGCTTATATTATTTAAACTGTTTGGCCTAATGGCTCAAGCCTCTAGCTAGCTGTTCTTATATCTTAAATTAACCCATTTCTATTAATCTATAAGTTGCCACATGGCTTGTGGCTTACCGGTATCTTAACATCTTCTCATGGCGGCAGCTGACAGCATCTCTCTACCTCAGCCTTCCACTTCTCAGACCTCTCCTCTCTCTTTGTCCCGTCTATACTTCCTGTCTGGCTACTGGCCAATCAGCATTTTATTTATCAATCAATCATCCACAGCAGAATACGACTCAGCTGTGAAGAAAAATGAAATCATGAACTCTACAGGTAAATGGATGAAACTAAAAAAGATCACATTGAGTGCAGTAACCTAGAGCCCAATATACAAACATCACATCTTCTGTCTCATTGGAAGCTCCTAGCTCCACATCTGCAGATGTGAGTACATATCCTGGAGTAACTGCAGAAACCAGGGAAGTAAAAGGGGTTTATTTCTGGGGTGGGGAGTGAGGGCAGGCACAATAGAGAGGGGAAGAGCAGAGTAATAAGGAATCAAACTGTTAACTATCTACCTTAAGGGGCTGGAGAGATGGCTCAGGTTAAGAGCACTGACTGCTCTTCCAGGGGACCTGGGTTTAATTCCCAGCACCCACATGGCAGCTCACAACTGTCTGTAACTCCAGTTCTAGGGCTTCTGACATCCTCACACAGACCTACATACAGGCAACGCACCAGTGCACATAAAATAGACAGATGATGATGATAGATAGATAGATAGATAGATAGATAGATAGATAGATAGATAGATAGATAGATAGATAGATATAGATGATGGATAGATAGATAGATAGATAGATAGATAGATAGATAGATAGATAGATAGATAGATAGATAGATAGATAGAAGTCTATAATACACATACACAGACATGTATTCTCATCTGGGCTAACAATGCTACTTCCAATAGCCAAAGACCACCAATCAAAAACCCCAACACCAGACGTGAGAAGCCCTCTTTTGAGTTGTTGGTCAGGGTTGTCTAAGAGACTCCCAAAACATAGGCTATTGCCTTGGGTTCTCCACTAGAGATGGAAGGTTAAGTCGCTATTGAAGACACCATGCACTTCAAATGCAGAGCCTCTGAGCTGGAACTGACCTGAAAGCCTCCTCCTTGAGGACTAGCTGATGTGGTACTAGAAGGTGCCATGTAAGCTTCCAAAGAAGTGAGGCAACCAACAATCCTACTTAGCACGGCCTGATAACCCTAAGGGTGTAGTAGTGGCACATATACTTTGACAGTTACCAACAGGTCTCTAATTGGACTTCAGACCTGCTCAATAAAAGGAAAATCATGCCTGGTCATGGAAACCTAGCCAAATACCCCAGGGCTAATGAAGTTACTGATCTTAGAGAAGAAACTACAACCACCACTTTACTAAACCAGAAAAATCCGTAATTATACTCTAAGTATTTGTCTTTATACCCACAAATAAGTATAGTCCTCACCCATCATCAAGGAAATTTCTTTTTGCAACAGATTGAGACTTTTTTTTTTTTATTATTTTTGAGACAGCGTTTCTCTGTAGCTTTGGATCCTGTCCTGAAACTCACTCTGTAGACCAGGCTGGCCTTGAACTCACAGAGATCTGCCTGGCTCTGCCTCCCAAGTGCTGGGATTAAAGGCATATGCCACCACTGCCCAGCCAGACTATTACAGAAAATCACAACTGATGAAAATGCAGAGTTGTGGAGCCCAGTCCCAATGGATACATCTACAAAACAATTCCCACACCTAAGGCTCAGGGATCATAATGGAAGAAGAGGAGGAAACACTTACAAGCCAAAGGATCAGGGAGTTTGCTATAAGACAGTGTTTCCTAGTAATGTCAGAATCTGCACCCATAAAATCTCACCAACAAGTCTCCTCTAAAAGTCAGCCTCACTGCGCGGCTTTGAAAGTGGGAGGGTCAGACACTCACAGCACAGGTGCACAGAGGAGACAGGAAGAGAGCAATAAAAGAATCCAAGGCTTGGAAGAAAGCTTGGTGCCCACCACTGCAGCCGTGGAGCATCAGAGAGAGCTTCAGAAAGACCCCACCAGAAGAGCTGACAGTGACAGATGGCCACGTGTTGAGAAGCCGGAAGAGGTGAAGGCTGGGGAGCCAGGGGACCAGAACTTCAGCAGCAGAGTAGTTCAGAGGGGGCGTGAGTTCTTTGACAGCAATGGGAACTTCCTCTACAGGATTTGAACTTGACCTGGCGTTTGGAGAGTCTTTGACACAGCTGGGCAAGTAGATTTGAACTTGCCAGCATTTCTGCATGAGCGACCACTTTGGAAGAAGAATTGAGGCTAGGATGTGGGTGGAGGAGCTACTTGGCTAGAGTCAGATTTCCTGGAGTAAGCCTCACTGAATCCCTGTGGATCTAAATACTCATTCATCCTTTTTGCTTGGTCTCTGTTGAGAACAAGTATGAACATGTGATGTGTCATGACTTTCGTTGTGTGTTATTGTATTGGGAGGAAATGGAAATCTGCCTCCTGACTCATTTCCTTGATCACAACACTAACTGTTCTTGAACTGCTTAGTCAATTGGTTTCCTTATGTGAAATAAAGTAAAACGGAACAGTTAAAAAAAAAAAAAAAAAAAAAATCTCACCAACAGGACTACTTAAACATGAACTGAGCAAGGACAACAATGGACATCCCTAAGTGGATGGGGAAATACCATGAAGCCTCAACACTACACTAAGAACTCTGGGCAACTAAGGAATGTTGAGAGCTGGGGAAATAGTCTTCCCCAAGAAAGAGCACACCAATTGTTATCCAATACCAATGGTCATCCCTGAAAGCATACATTCAAATAACTCTGCTATACATACTGAGCAGGTTATATTTAGGAATATATGTGCACATATATGCATGTAACAGCAATTAATGAAAAAAAGAGGCCATGAATTTGAAAAAAAAGCAAGCAAGGGGATATAGGGGGTTGACAGGAGAGAAGGGGGAAATGATTTAATTATATTATAATGTCAAAAAATAAAAGAAAGACAGGAGAAGGAAAGAATTAGAGTGACTGATTCTCTGTCTCAACATGGGATAAGGAGCCCTGTAATCATGTGCTTAAGAGAAGCTATGAAAAAGCAGTGATCCATCATGTTCTTTGTTGCTGTACTCTCAACAGCAAGACCACAGAACCATCCTAGATGCCCATCAGTGGATAAATGAACAATGCAAATGTGGTACACAAATACAATGGAATTTTGTTTAGCTGTAAAGAAGAATTAAATTATGAAAGATGTAGAAAAATGAATGGATCTAGAAAGTATATTAATCAAAGTGACCTATTCTGGTTAGGGCTTGTTATTGTTTGGGTTGGGGGGTGTATTTGTTTTGTTTTGTCTTATCAACCCAACACAAGGTAGAGCTTTCTGGGAGGAAAAAACTCAATTAAGAAAATGCCTCCATCAGACTGCCTATAGGTAAGTCTGAAGTGCACTTTCTTTATTAATGATTGATGTGGGTGGGCCCAGCCTAGGGAAGGAGAGGAATAGTGCCCCTGTGCAGGTGGTCCTAAGTTTTACAACAACAACAACAAGAACAACAACAACAAAGCAGGCTGTGCAAACCATGAGGAACAGAGTGAGCAGCCTTAAATTCCTGCCCTGACTCCCTTAGATGATGGACTGTAATGTGGAAGTGTAAACAAAATAAGCCCTTCCCCTGCAAAGTTGCTTTTGGTCATGGTGTTTATCACAGAAATATAAACCCTAACTAAAGTAGGACCCAAACTCAGAAAGACAAAGCCACATCACACATCCTCTATCATACACCTACCCTCGCTTGTCATGCATGAACATGCATACACATGGATGCAAACATGGGTAGAGCCTACAAATGAGAAAGGACACCAAGAGAGGCTAAAAAGGTGCCGAGGACATGTCAGCTGCTCTGACTCTGTTTACGGATTGTGGGAGCTAACAGGGAACGGTGAACGCTCCTGCATCTCAATTGGCAGGGCTCAGGGCTACAGGCTACCTTCCCCATCTCTATGAAGAGCCCTGGTTGGTCCTGAATGCCACAGGCACTCGATTAATGTCTTAATTACTGTGAGGCTAATTATTCTACCTTGATTATCCCCAGACCCGTTTTTCCCGACCTTAACTTTCCTTGCTAGAATAGTAAGGTGACCTCAATAGGACCATTTCATACTCCCTCTAGCATGTGCCTTTGGAAAACAATCTTTACTCATTCCCTGCTATTGTAACTGGGTTGTCCTACCCCACTTCCAGGGCTAGATTCAGCTAGTGCCAAGGCCACAGACTCAATTGCTCTATTGGCATTCCTGGATCCAGGAAGTATCCACTAGGTGGAGCCTTCTGTTTCCCAGCCACTGAAGCCTGGGATACCCCGTCTCTGGATGGCCACTGTCCATAACCCTCATGAAAAAATTTCTTCAAATCTCTACCTCCTTTCCCAGATCCTCAATTCTAAACACAGGAGACTCCAAGTCATCCTTCTTAGGTTTTAGGCCACCATCCTACTCTGTCCCTGGAGCTCCCTTCACAATATGCTTATTTGGGCAGTCACAAAGTCTGATGGCACATGCCAGTTGGTAAAAGACTTCAGAGTCGTTAACAAGACTGGTCTTTGTACACCTTTATACCCCCACAAAGACTTCCTGGTGGGTAGTCCTAGGCCTAAAGATTGCTTTCTTCTATATCCTGGGACACTCAGACTCAGTCCCTGTTTTCCTTAGGGTGGAAAGACCCTGTCTCCCAGGGCAGTCAACAACTAACTTAGACTGTCCTCTCCCAGGGCTTCCAAAATAGTCCCCACCTGTTTGGGCAAGCCTTAAAGAATCATTCAGCCTAATTGGTAGCATCTTCCTTCAACATATAGATTATCTATTGTCTGCAGCCCAGACAAAGATACCGTTAACCTAAATACCATTTAGATGTTACACTAACCGGTTACTGGTCTCGTGGTTACTATTGCCCCATCTAACTCACAAATATCTTCTCAAGAACTATGTTTACTGGGATAAGTGCTAACTCCAGGGACATGGCACTTACCTAGACACCATAAGAAACTGCCAAAAAAATTATTATGTGTTGCACTGATTCTTTTTTCGCTGCTATGTTATAATATCATGACCAATATATAAAAGGAG